TTTCAGATAATATGGGTACTTATCCCGCGGAGAGCTATACGAATATAGCACACGGTAATAGTCAGGATCATCTATATGTAATTCGTATGGGCTAATCCGGACGATTGGCCCTGGGGAGATAGACAAGTTAGGCTTCCCTCCGTCTTCTGAGAGTTGCTAGACGAGGATAAACTGACCATATTTTTGATGTAGCTCCTTAATCTTGAACGTGTATCGGCCCCTGCGAACAGCATCATAATAAAATTCATACCATAGCGTCGCGGCTGCTAACTTCGGCCCTGGGAACTTTGCCAATGGGGAAAGATATAACCTATATATCACACCACCGGTAAGGTAAATTATGAAAAATGAACATATTGAAACAAGAACACCTTGAGTAAAGGTTAAATGACCCGCTTCGTTCAGCATGGTCACTGCTAGCCCGCAACCATATCCCCTGGGATAGCATTCAAACATGCTGTGCAATAAGTGAGAATAACCTGCGTACATACTGCGCAGAATGGACCCCTGGTGAGAGCGTTGGAATATTTCAATGTATTCTTTTAACTCACATCAACATTTGAAGACGCCCAGGACAGCAGTCTGAAAACAATGCCTTCCCGACATGTTCGTATTTGCAAATTGTTGGTATTGTTGCTGGCTATTCTTTTAATGGGATTAATGAACGATGATGCGCTCCATGATGCCAAGTTTTAGCAGCGTCCATTGTTCCTTCAATTGATTGACATTGAAGACTCTGAAAATGTCAAATCAACTTCGGATTCTGGTTTTCGCAAGCGATGGCAAATGCCACCTGATTGGCAGTTATATGCCCTCTCGGGTTTTGGTGGCTTACAGCACATTGTACAACACCGTATGTACCAGTTAATGCAAGTCGAGTTTTCACCGAGCGGATCTGAGCATCTATCTATAAATTTAAGTTTGGTAACTAATGAGCGAATAGAAGCCACTGATCACCACTTAATTATTGATGTCGGGCGACCTCTTTGATCAAACTTCATATATATTCGTTGTCCATCGCTCATTTCTCCGACCGATACAGCAAGGTTCGGTCTAAGAACGCACATTGGGTGGATGCGAAAGGTTCCATAAATCATTGTTTGCATGTTACAAACCATGCACAACGTGTGTGCGGACCTCCACACAGCTCTCAAATGTTACTCAGATGCTGTTGACCCGTACAGTATACTATTGTTTCCTCCGACCTTGGCCATAGTTCGGGATACCAGGCGAAGAGAACTCAAGACGTAGATACGTATTCTCAATAACAGATGTGAGTTTCCACATCAATCTGCCACATTTCCTGTCCGCTGGAAGCACGGGCCATGACGTCCTAGATGTAACCTCAATTTATCGCACCCGGGCTATTGCAATCCGATATATCGGTTGATGTCCCCACCCAATCCGATCTTTCGCGTCGCCATATATACCCTTCGTCTAGAAGTTTATGACCAACCTCTTCATCCGAATCTAGATGGCCATTGTGGTTAAACCGAGGTTTGCTTGACCACATTCGACGGATTAAGGAGATAACAAAAAGAAGAAGAAATAAAATATTCTGGACAAAAGTTACGGCCGATGCAAACGGACCTTGAGTACTATTTATTGATGGCAATTACTAGTATTCTGTGAGAAAAATGACTAATAGTTACCCGATAATGCGAGCTCAGCATTGAAACTGATAATCTAGATTTGTTCTCAACCGAAAATTCGTGGTAATAAGCAGTGCACCAAGTGGTTAGATACATGAGGTTGGTCCTTGGGTCATTTGGTAAAACATCATACTAAACTATGCATGTGGCAGCCACCGTATAAGTTATATAATTAACCCTT